TGATTAGTTGTTTCATCTCTTTAAACATGTTGTAGGAACCTGGACTGGGATTGCATTGTATCTTTAGATTGTTTGGGGCAGTTCAGTGTTAAGTCTTCCTATCCATGAGCATGGTATATTCTTCAATTTTTGTAGGTCTCTTTTGGTGTCTTGTTTTGTGGTTATCTTTGTATAGGTCTTTTGTTTCTCTGGTTAGATTTATTCTTAAGTATTTCATCTTTTGGGTTGCTATTGCAAATTGTATTGTCTTCTGATTTCCTTTTTAGAGTTCTTTATTGTTGTTGTTGTTGTTAGGTGCCATCAAGTTGGTACCAACTCATAACAACCTTATGCACAGCAGAACCAAACACTGCCTGATCCTGGGTCAACCTCACTATTATTGCCATGCTTGAGCCCATCAATGCTGCCACTCTGCCAATCCATCTCACTGGGGGTCTTCCTCTTTTTCTCTGATGTTCCCCACCTTATCAAACATGATATCCTTCTCCAGCGATTGATCCCTGCTGAAAATATGTCCTCAGTATGAGAGACAAAGTTTAGCCATCCTGGCCTCCAAGGAGCACTCTGGCTGCACTTCTTCCAACACAGATCTGTTTGTTCTTTTGGCAGCCCATGGCACTTTGAATATTCTCCTCCAACACCATAATTCAAAAGCATCAATTCTTCTATGGTCTTCCTTATTCACTGTCCAGCTTTCGCATACGTATGAGTTTATTGAAAATACCATAGCTTGGATCAAGCGCACCTTAGTCCTCAAACTGACATCTTTGCTCTTCAACACTTCAAAAAGGTCTTGTGTAGATTTGCCTAATGCATTACGTTGTTTGATTTCTTGACTAGTTGATCCAAGAAGAATGAAGTCCTTGACAACTTCAATCTTTTCTCCGTTGATAAGACTGTTGTTTATTGGTCCAGTGGTGAGGATTTTTGTTTTTTTTACATTGAGATGCAATCCATACCGAAGGCTATGCTCTTTGATCTTCATCAGTAAATACTTTAAGTCTTATTTACTTTCAGCAAGCAAGGTTCTATCATCTGCATATCGCAGGTTGTTAATGAGTCTTCCTTCAATCTCGATGCCAGGTTTTTCTTCATATAACCCAGCTTCTCAGATGATTTGCTCAGCATACAGGTTGAATAAGTATGGTGAAAGAATACAACTCTGCTGCACAACTTTCCTAATTTTAAACCATTCAGTGTTCCCATGTTCTGTTCAAACAACAATTTATTAGTATAAAGGAATTTAAATGACTTTTGTATATTGCTCTTGCACCCTGCCATTTTGTTGAATCTTTCAATGAGTTCCAATAAATTTCTTGCTGAGTTTTTAGGATTTTGTATGTATAGGATCATATCATCTGAAAATAGAGAGAGTTTTACTTCTTTTTGTCAATTTGTGTGCCTTTAATTTCCCTTTCTTGTCTTATAGTCTGGCTAAGACTTCCAACACAATATTGAATAAGAGCTGTGATAAAGGACATCCTAGTCTGTCTCCTGTTTGAAAGGGGAATGGCTTCAGTTTCTCTCCATTGACAATGTTGGCTGTTGGATTTTATTATATGCTCTTATTTGTGTTGAGAAATTTCCTATTTTATTGATTTTTTTTTATCAGGAAAAGGGTGTTGGATTTTTTCAAATACCTTCTCTGCATTGATTAATATGATCATGTGATTTTTACCTTCATTTCATTTATATGATGGGTTAATTGATTTTCTAATATTGACCCATCCCTGTATATCTGGTATGAATCCCACTGGATCATGATGTATTTTTTTTTACATGTGGCTGGATTCTATTGGCTAGGATTTGGTTGAGAATTTTTACATCTATGTTCATCAGGGATTTTGTTGTTGTTGTTAAGTGCCGTTAGAATTGGTGTCAGCTCTTCTTTGAATGTTTGGTAGAATTCACCAATAAAATTACCTAGGCCCAGACTTTTTTTGTTGGGAGTTTTTTAATGACTTTATCAATTTCTTCTTTTTGTTATAGGGCTGTTCAAGTTTTCTACTTCAGTTTGTGTTAGTTTAGGTAGGTCGTGTGTGCTAGAAATGTGTCCATTTCACCGGGTTTTCAAATTTGTTGAAATACAATTCTTCATGGTTGGTTGGTTGGTTATGTGCCATAGAGTCAGTTCTGATGAATAGCAACCTATATAGGGTTTCCCAAGACTGCAAATCTTTATGGGAGCAGAAAGCCTTATCTTTCTCCCACAAAACAGCTGGTAGTTTCAAACTGCTGACCTTGAGGTTAGCAGCCCAACTCGTAACCACTATGCTATCAGAGTTCCGTTGTGATGTCACCATGTAATTTCTTATTCATGTGATTTCCATCTTCTCTTGTTAAATTTTCCAGTGGTTTGTCAATTTTATCAATGCTTTCAAAAAACCAACATCTTGTCCTGTTGATTCTTTCTATTGTTTTTCTGTTTTCTATTTCACTTATTTCTGTTCTAAATTTATTATTGATTTTCTTTGGGTGGCAGTAGGCTTACTTTGTTGCTCTTGTTCTAACTGTTGAAGATGTTGGGTTAAGGTGTTGATTTTGGTTCTTTCTTCTTTTGATGTGTGCATTTATTGCTATAAATTTCCCTTTGAACACTACTTTTATCTACTGTATTCCAAAGGTTTTGGTATTTTCATTATCCTTTGATTCAAGGAAATTTTTTATTTTTTTTATTTCTTCTATTACTCAGTAGCTTTTAAGCAGGGTATTATTCAAATTCCAAGTATTTCATCCCCCCTCCCCCGCCCCTTGATCTTTCTTTTGATTTCTAGTTTTATAGCATTGTGGTCTGAGAAGATGCTTTGCAGTATCTTGTTGTTTTAAAACGTATTGATGTTTGTTTTGTGGACTAACATATGGTCTCTTCTGGAGACTGTGCTGTTCATGTGCACTGGAGAAGAATGTATATTGTGCTGTTGTTGGGTTGAATGGTCTGCATATGTCTCTGAGGTCAAATTGTATGGTTGTGTTTTTTACTTCTTCTGTATCTTTTTTCTTTCTAGTTGTTTGTCCTTCATCAAAAGTGGAGAAGAAGGAATAAACAAAGAAAAAAAATGAAAGAAGACAACCACACACCAGTGTAGGTTCTAGACCACAGAGAAGAAACCTGTCCACAAAGGTGACCCACAATCATGACTCACTTCCGGTGCCACGGCAGGGACCTGTGTCCCTCCATCCTGCACAGCTCCTCACTGCCCTGTCCCCCACATCCCACTAGCCATGGGATACTTCTCAGCACTGACTAGGTCTTCCCACAGGGTCCAGCAGTCCCCAGCCCCACACCCACGCCCCCAGTGGACCCTGGGACGTGCAACCAAGGCTGCAACTGGGGGTCAGGCCACAGCCACGCAGAGAGGGAGCAGGCAGTGAAGGGTCTGGGTACGGCGGATGCAATCATCACAGGGTCCGCAACACCAAATAGACTGGGAGCAGGACACCACTGGGGCACAGATGCTAGTCTGGACACCCACCTCACAGACACCTGGGCAGGCAGAGCAGACTGGACAGATGGACAGAGGATAGATACCCCCCAGGGAGGGCCCGAAACCACCTCCCAAGATACCTGTTCTCACCTGTCACCTCCCTCACTCATTGTCATGTGTGGACAGTAAGGCTGCCACAGGGGACTGCAGGGACCACGGTGATGGGGCTACGCGGTTGTGGGCAGGGGCCTTTATGCCCTGTGCCCTGAAAAGAGACCCCACCCTGACAACACAGAAGAACCATGTTCAGGTGGTCCCAGCTCTGAGGATGAACCCAGGACGGAGCAGGGGGCACCTTCCTCATAGACACCTCCTGAGAGGGGCAGATGAGACTCCGGTGACTTAGACCTGTAAGTCCAGCCCGGGTGGCCCCACCCAGCCCGGCAGATCCCACCCACTGTCCCTCCCACCCCCTCTAACTGTGGAGCCTGGATTTTGCACACACCCACCAGCACCAGGGAGGCCTCCAAATCCAGAGCCCGCCCCCAGTCCTGAGTCTGGACCCGCGCTTCGCGCTTGGACACGCACTTCAGATACATTTGCCTGGAAATACGTGGTTTATACTGTCACAGCCCAGACCCTGCCCAGCCTCCTCCTCCTAGGTGATGGACGAGGGCCCAGACACAGCAAAGAAGGGGAGCCAAGATCACCTGCACCTCAGCGGACCCTGTCCTCCCTTGCCCCTCAGCCGTGCCCCCTCGTTTCTCCCAGAACCCACCAGAGGGCAGTATTTTCTAGGGCCAGTACCCAGCCCCCTGCCTCCACCCCAGGCCCAGCTCCCTAAAGTGGACCTCCAAGCTGCAGCTGAACACCCCAACTCGGAGGTGACGCAGCAGGTGTTTCTGCACAGATGGGGGTACTGAGGCACCCAGGCTGGCAGGGGTACCCTTGCTTTATACCTCACTATGAGCAAGGCGTGGGTGTGGTCCCACCCCACAGAATGAAGGCTGGGAGGAGGCAGAGGCCCCATGCTGTTCTACATGGGAAGGTGTTGGGTCCCCACCCGGCCCACCAAGAACTGCATGCACACCCACCACCACTCTGTGCAGACACCAGTTGTGAGCCCTCCAGGGCGAAGCCCACCTCCCCACACCCATTCTCATCACCCCCTTCTGCCTACTGGAATGCCTCTCCCCTGCTGGCCGGAGAGCTCAGCTCACGGTTCTGTGAGTTCCGACTTCACTGGCGTTCACTGGTAATAAAACTCTCTCTCAGGAGACTTGTCCTGGGGCAACAGAGTCAGGAGGGCCCACAGCGGTGCCACAGAGGGTCAGCCAACCAGCGGTCAGCAGCTGGACACTGGCTCCTCCTCACCCTCACAGTGTATACCCAGGCCCTCCCACAGAGGGGCTTCAGACTGAGGGTGTGTCTGAAGCCCACTTGCACACAAGATGGGTCCTATATTCTGGGAGAGACTTCTGGGGGTGAGCTGGAACAGCCAGAGAGGATGGGTCACTAACACTGAGATGCACTTCACCTAATCACACCGGGCACACTCGTATCGTGCAAGTCTACCTTGGAAGAAGCTCTTCACCCTCAGGTAGCTGACGCTGAGGCGCAGGACAGAAAGCTTGTCCAGTTTGGAGATGATGTCGGGTGGAAATGGCAGGAGGCTGGCCAGGTGGTCCAGCTCGGCATTGAGGCGGTCCCGGTGTCGCTTGGAAGGGTTGGACTTCTCCGACTCCAGGGTGGGCCTCCTGTGAAGAAATGAAACTGCGTCACGGGTGGTTTCCCTTCCAGCCACTTCAGAGCCCACGTTAGGACAGAAACCTAACAGCAGGAGTCATGGGTCCCACCCCATGCACCTCGGAGCTGCCACAGAGAGCCCTCGAGATGGACAGACGGTGAGGACACGTGGCCGGGTGTTACAGGGAGCCCTCGGGATGGACAGACAGAGAGGACACAGGACTGGGATAGTGACTTCTGTCTCCAGGAGAGGGAGGGGACAGCGGGAACGAAGGCCTGGTCACCAGGATAGGACCTGCTGCCTGCCGACCCTGTGCCCAGATCAGCTAGACCTGCCAGTTAACGTACCTCCTAGACGGGGAGTCCCGGATCAGCACAGGGCTAGTAACCACTAGTCAGCAGTTCAAACCCACCAGTTGCTCTTCGGAAACCCTAGATAGGGTCACTAACAACAACAACAACACAAACTGTAGCCTGGAGAAAAGACTGACGTTCCAGACCCAGAGCAGAGTACACGTACCCTCAGGCCCTCTGCCTTGTCCTCAGCTCAAAGGCCCACAGACCAAGCCTGGCCTCATCTGAGGGTGGGGTGTTTGGGGGCCACTGTCCCCATAATGCCACGCTCAGTGTGGGGGTGAAGTCCTCCTCCTCAGCCCACCCTGCCCCTGGCGCTGCCTGGGAGAAGACGTCTCTTGGGAAATGACACATGACCCTGGAGCTGGGTGTTCCTTGAGCCATTCCGGCAGACAGGTCCCCTAGAAGCTCCTCTGTACCCCAGCTCACAGGAAGACAAGCAGACAGGACACCAGGCATACAGGGACAAAGTCTGCCTGAATGCAAGCAGGAGCCCGGACAGCTCGGTCGGATCCACAGATACTCTCAGGGTGACGATTTTAAAACCCAGAACACAAAACAATTATGTTTCTTTCAAGAAAGTGAGGCATAGATGTGAGTAAAGCAAAGCTGAAACAACCAACCCCTAGAGTACAGAGAGACTTCAAGCGCTAGCCCAACTCCCAGCTCCCTTCACAGCAAAGGCCCTCCACATCCATCGCCTCCACAAGGCCCCAGGAGGTGGTTTCTTTCAGGCAACACCTGAGCCTGGTTCGGCCACACAAGCCCACTGTGTCTGTCTGCCCTCCCGTGAATACCAAGTGACTCTTCTGAGGAGGGGCTCAAACTGCAGTCCTGGGCAGGGGACCAGTGGTCCAGATGTGGGACCCCACTCACCCACCCTAGCTAACGGCCTTACACTTGATTTCTTCTTTATATCATTATTCTATCAGTTTTCCTCATTAAAAAAGAGAGTAAAGAAGCAGCCAAGTGTGTTTCTCTTTTGGCTTCTGATCCAGAAAATCCCTGGGGATGGGGGGGCAGGGCGGGGAGGTCCTATGGCTGCAGGGTCTCGGGTCTCTCACTAGCAGAAGCCCTTCCACCTGCATCTGTGAAGGCGCCACATCCCAGTGACAACAGCCTGCCAGCCTCCCTCATCACGAGGCTGGGCTGCCCGGGCACCCGCACATGGCGCACCCTGACCGGCTATGGCGGCTTTGCGATCTGGCTCCCTGCTCTCCAGAAGTCCTGGGAGCCGATGGGCTCCCCTTTCATTCTGACCTCTGTGTAATGTGTCAACTCTATCTATGAGTTCAAATCACGTTCTCACACTGACATGGACAGTCTGGGCTTTCTGCTTACCGATTTATACTTCCATGAGTTCAAAATACAAAATCATTGTTACTTTCTCAGCAGCTGTGTGTGTCCCCCTGCCCACATGGGTCCATTACCCAAGTCCCCACACTCTGCCCACACACTCTGCCCCTTCACTATACCCCTGAGCAGGCCAGCCACAAGCCCGGGTCAATTCTACCCTTCCCTACGCCACCCACCTGCCTCCCCAGACAGGAAATGGCACCATGTGCCTGATAGTCCATCATTCCCCTTCAGGTCTTCCAACTGGGGCACCCAGGGGATGACTCTCACCTGCTGAAGGTGTCGGAAGGACTCAGCAAGTTCTCCTCATTCTCTGAGAGCCCCTCTGAACACCTCCAGCATGCTATGCCCAGCCACCCCCCTCATTTCCCTTCCCCGTGGAGCAGGGAAGGGTGGCAAGGGGTCCGTGGGCATGTATAGGGTGGCACGCCTCTGAGCCAGCTGTGGGTTCAAGTCCAAGGGAAAGTATAAACTCTCCGGGAAGAAGCTGCGATCTCCCAAGGCAGAGGAGTAAGGTTAGGGGGAGCAACTAGTGTGCTCAGATGAGATGGGTGGGTGGGCATAGGTGGCTATTCATAGCAACCTCATGTAGAGCAGAAGAAAGCTCAGGTGAAGGCGAGTATACAAGGAAGCCCTGCGGCACCAAAAGCATCCAACACCTATGACTGAATCAAGCAAGAACTGAAAGAGACTGCTGAGAGAAATCTCAAAAGACACCCGTGCGCAGAAAGGCCTGATTGTGCATGGAACTCGCTGTTGCTAAGACAGCATTTCTCTTCCAGCTTCAACTGTTCCCACCTTCTGGCTGTTGTGCCACAGAGCAGCTGGTGTGTTTGAACCGCCAACTCTGTGGTTAGCAGTCCAGTACTTATCCTACAGCACCACACTGTATCCCTACAACCCACTTTTTCACTGAAAGGCAAACAGAAAATGCAAGTTCTCACTGTTTCTGAACAGGTTTTCTCCGCTTCCTCCCAGCATATAGACACTCCCCCGGCGGGATCATCGTCTTTGGCCCTAAAAGAGAAAGGAGGCATCACGTTAGCTGTGCTCAGGGAGACAAGCATAGTCATAGCTTCCAGGTCACTGGGTGCTTGGTACACACAGCCAGGAGCTGGGGGCCAAGGCCCTGCCCCCTACCTTCATGTGAGCCCCATGTGGTGACCTCCATTCACACCTGTGTCAAAAGCATGTGGAAGAATCCAGAAGGACACACCACCATCCCTCCCACCGTGGTTCCCACGGCATGGCCTTCACGGCCCGCCAGCACATCATCACTCTCAGGCGGGGAGTCAAGTCCCGCTCTGGGACACGCTCAGCAGGAACAATCCTGAGAGCTGAGCGTGAGACATACAAGGCCTACTACAAGGGTGTCTCGGGCCAGAGGCTGGGAAGTCTGTTCTCAAAAATGCCTCATCAGCTCACAGAAGGCCCACGAGGCTGCTGCTTCCCCCCTGTGGTCTCCGTGGTTGCTTGTCTTCCTTGTCTGTGCCTTGTGGCCTTGTAATGCTGGGCCAGCCGCTTCCTCTTCTCTCCAAAGCCCTCGAACTCAACTCTGCCGAGCTGGACTTGATTGAGCAGTAGGCCTGGGCTCAGGGGCACACAGCTCACTTACCACCACCCATGGGGCTGTCACCTGAGGCAGAGTGTCCTCCTGCCACAGAACCTGGCTTTTCCCTGTCGTGAGCGTCGTGCCGACTAGGTCAGCTCTGACTTAGCAAAGGGAGTAAGGAGTCTCCAGTCCTCACAGCCTGCAAGAGGGACAGATTCCGACACATAATTTCCACCCCATGCAGATAACAACAGGGATGTGTCCTGGGCCCACTGCAGATAAGACACCTACTTAGAACGTGAAGACACAGGCAAAAAGTAAATGGATGGGAAAGATTCACCATGCAAACATTAACCAGAAGAAAGCTGGTGTGGCTACATGGACATTAGACAAACTTGGGAATAAGGAGCATTATCAGGGATACAGAGGGACATAGCTGTTGTTAGGTGCTATTGAGTTGTTTCCAACTCATAGCAACCCTACGTAGAGCAGAGCAAAGCACAGCCCTTCCTGTATCATCTTCACAACCAACCGCTGGGCCACTGTGGCAGCCACTGGGTGAATCCACCTCATAGAGGGTCTTCCCCATTTCACTGACCAAACACGATGTCTTGTTCCAAGGCCTGGTCCCTCCTGATATCATGAACAAAGTCACGCCTTCCATACTTCTAAGGAACATTCCAACTGTACTTCTTCCAACATAGATTTCTTCATTCTTCCAGATGCTCGTGAGATACTCAATATTCTTCATCACACCACAATTTGGATGCATTGATTCTCCTCTGGGCTTACTTATTCATTGTCCAGCTTTCACATGTGTATGAGATGATCTCAATTACCATGGCTTAGGTCACGCATGCCTTAGTCCTCAAAGTGACATAATTACTTTTTAACATTTGCAAGAGGTCTTTTGCAGCAGATTTTCCCAATACAATACATTGCTTACTGCTGTTTCCTTGAGTGTTCATTGTGGATCCAGGTGAAGGAAAACCCTTAATAACATCAATTCTGTATATTGGGATGTTGTTTATTGGTCCAAAGGAGAGGAATTTTATTTTCTTTATATTTGGAATGTCAGCAAATGTGTCATGTCTGCTTTGTTTTCAGCAAGTAAGGTTATGTCACCTGCATGTTGCTGGTTGTTGAGTTTTCCTCCAATCCTCATACAATCCAGTTTCTCAGATGATTTGCTCAATATAGAGACTGAGTAAGTATGATGGAAGGCTACAACTTTCCTGATTCTAAACCAAGAATCACAGCAACACACAAACCACCACAGTGTGACAAAGTGACAGATGATTGGTGGAAGAGACATTCGATAATGATAAAAATCTCAATTCTCCAAAAAGATTAGCAATCCTAAATGTGCACCACCTAACAACAGAGCTTCCAAACACATGGAACAAAAACTATTAACACTGCTGCTGGGACAACTGGATCTCCACGTGTGAAAGAATCAAGTTGGAGCAAGAGCTCATATCATATGTGAAAATTAACTCAAAATAGATCAATGACCTAATTATAATGTTAAAACAAAAAAGCTCTTAGAAGAAAACAGGGACTAACCTTCAATTTGATTGTTTTGGACAATGGATTCTTAGGCATGACACCAAACCATTCATTGTTAAATGCCATCGAGTCCGTTCCAACGCACAGCGACACTGTGTAGGGTTTTGGAGGAGCAACTGGTGGGTTTGAACTGCCAGCCTTGCAGTTAGCAGTCCAGTGCTTACCCTACAGAACCACGTCATGACACCAGAAGCAGGAGCAAAATAAGAAAATAATAATCAATTTGATTTCACCAAAATAAAACATTTATTTACTAAAAGATTTTATCATGAAAGTGAAGAGACAACTTATTGGAATGGGAAGAAATCTCTAGGAATCATGCATGTGATAAAGGTTTAATATCCTTAATATATAAAGAGCACCTACATCTAACTCAACAATAAAACGACTAACAAGCAAATCAAAAAACGGACCAAAGACTCGAATAGGCATTTCATCAAAGAAGGTATAGAAATAGCTAAGAAGTATAGAAGAAGGTGGCCAGTGTCATTTGGCACTAGGAAAATTTAATTTAAAATCCGAATGAGATACCATTTCACACACACCTCTCAATGCAGAATGGTCATTGGACTGAGCAATGCCATTCCTAGGTATCTTCCCAAGACGCTTGAAAGCAGACTTCAATAGATTATTTGTACACTTTGAGCAAAATATTGGATGATGCAAAAAGCATAGAAAGAAGATGGAAGAAATACACAGTCATTGTGCCAAGAAGAAATGGTGGATGTTCACCATGTCAAGAGGGAGTCTATGATCAAGAGTCCCGGGTTCTGAAGGAAGACATCCAAGCTGCACTGAAGGCATTAGCAGAAAAAGCAAAGGTCCGGGAACTGACGGACTACAAAGTGAAATCTCTCAGTGAACTGACGCAGCACTGGAGGCACCCACTCATCTATGTCAAGAAATTTGGAAGACCACCACCTAGACAACTGACTGGAAGAAGTCCACATGTGTTCCCATTCCCAAGAGAAGTGACCAAACGGAATGCAGAAATCATCAGAAAATATCATTAATATCACATGCAAGTAAAAATTTTACTCAAGATAATTTTTAAAAAACCAACAGCTGCAACACTATATTGACAGGGAACATCCAGAGGTTCAAGTTGGATTCAAATGAGCAATTGGGAATAAGGGATATCATTACTGACATCAGATGATCTTAGTTGAAAACAGAGAATACCAGAGACGTATTGACTACACAAAGGCTTTCAACTGTGTGGATCATGGCAAAGTAAGGACCACGTGGTAGAGAATGAGTATTACAGAATACTTAGGACAAAAAGGAGTCATTCAAACAGAGCAAGGGAACACTGTCAGTACCAGAATATTGAAGACTGAAATATGATGAAGAGCACCAGAATATTGTCAGATAAAGTGCCAGAAGATGAGCCACTCAGGTTGGAAGGCACTCAAAATGCAATTGAGGAAGAACTACCTCCTCAAAGAGTTGACCGTGAGGATGAGAATAGGATAAAGCTCTCGGGACCTTCATTTGCTGATGGGGCACAACTCAAATAGAAGAGAAACAGCTGGAAACATCCATTAATAACTGGAACATGGAATGTACAAAGTATGAATCTAGGAAAATTGGAAATTAAAAAATGAAATGGAACACATAAACATCAATATCCTAGGCATGAGTGAGCTGAAGTGGACTGGTAGTGGCCATTATGAATCTGACAATCGCATGGTTAACTATGTTTGGAATGACAAATTGAAGAGAAATGTCATCACATTCATCATGAAAAAAGAACATATCAAGATCTATCCTGAAGTACAACACTGTCTGTGATACAGTAATATCCATAGGTATAGAAGGAAGACCAGTTAACACTACAATTATTCACATTTACGCACCAACCACTAAATCCAATGACAATGAAATTGAAGAATTCTACCCTCATCAGTCTGAAACTGATCCAACATGCAATCAAGATGTATTGATCATTCCGGCGATTGGAATGCAAAGCTTGGAAACAAACAGGAAGGAT